CGGCTTGAATTAGTACAAACCTTAAATTATGCGATTCGGAATAACGGTTTGCGTTAATCTATGAAATTGACCAATTATTGAACTTACTTGACCACTTCAGATGCCTATTAATTTATGTAGAACCAAATCTAATAATGTGTAGTATTTAATATTTTCGTTTTTGTTGGCTATACACTGACTAGGACGGGCCTGCGAAATAGAGTCTCAGATATTTTGAAATCATGTGATAAAAAATATACAAATTAAATAAATGTTAAGGGTGTTATTTTTGTTTAAGATTGTATAAAAATCCCCAAATAGGAATACGAAATTAAAATGCATCACAAATTGTATGTTTAATATTTAAATTTTTACAAAAACTATGTTTTTAAAAAGTAGCCAAATTCACGTTATAAATCGAAGGGTTGAGTAGGTGAGGGGAGGTAAGTAACATTTTTGTAAAAAAAAAAAATCCGGTACTCTATGCACACTTGTCTCCTTCATCCGGTACTCTATGCACACTTGTCTCCTTCATCCGGTACTCTATGCACACTTGTCTCCTTCATCCGGAACTCTATGCACACTTGTCCCCTTCATCCAGTACTCTATGCACTCTTGTCTCCTTCATCCAGTACTCAATGCACACTTGTCTCCTTCATCCAGTACTCTATGCACACTTGTGTAATTCATCCAGTACTCTATGTGCACTCGTTCCATTCATCCAGTACTCTATGCACTCTTGTCTCCTTCATCCAGTACTCTATGCACACATGTCTCCTTCTCCAGTACTCTATGTACACTTGTCTCCTTCATCCAGTACTCTATGTGCACTCGTTCCATTCATCCAGTATTCTATAGCCCCCCACACACTACCAGACCAGACCTACTGACCAGTCTGTCTGGTCTGGCGTCTGGCATTTGTCTTATCGTATGGGGCTGTCTGCAGACCGATTTTCTCGGACCAGACGGTCTGTCTGATGGTTGAACCCTCAGACCACAGACGGTCTGAGGTTCCCCCACCACTATTTTTGTCTGGTCTGTGAGTGTGTACCGCTGTCTGTCAGACGTCAGACCGTCGCGACAGTCTTCCTGTTGCACTGTTGCAGTGAGAGTGATTGTAAGTTGCTGATCTTGCGCAACCGTGATGTCTCAGCAAACTCAACCAAATGAAGCTGAAAGAGGTGTTGATGGAGCTAATCGAGGCATTAAAAGAAAACCGATGTTTGTAGGACACTAAGTGTGATGATACCTATACGAATAGAGATCTACGGAGGGCAGAACATGGTTCGCTGTTGGAGATTTATAAAAAAATCCAACCAAATGCAACAATTGACCTAGTAAAGAAGAAGATAGAAAATCTCAAGTGCAGTTTCAGGCGGGAATTGAGGAAGGCAAGCTTTACAACATTGTTATTTCTAAAAATCCTCCAATAATTTACTTTTGATTTTACTCAATTTTTTAGTACTATTTTATTTTAAAGCCACTTTATTATGTTCAACTAAGGTGGATGGGGATTGCAAATAAATCCACACAATTGTTTAAAACTAATTTTTACACGATTTTTTAAAACTAGTTTTTTACACGATTATTTTTGTAAAGATATGATGATTAGGGATAACGGTAAACATTTATTTCCTCTAAAATAAGGCTAATAATAACAAAATAATTTAAATAAAACATTCATTGCAGGTAAAAGCCGCAGGTGAGAAGGAGATGATCAGAGAAGGATATGATCCTCTGTAAAAAGACGAATCACTAATGGATGTTGTGGTACAGAAAAACAATTAGCAAAATAACGTTATTGTGCTCTTAACATATCCTCTTGAAACGTAAGGGCTCCTTTGTCGTTGTAGTAGTCAAGAAAACATTTTCGAATACTCTTCCCTTGATTAGAAACAATTCTTACACTCGATTGCTGCATATGTGCTAAGGACCGCACCTCACGCCAATCCCCAGGTCGTAACTGCATTTAGTGCAGGAAAATAGTGTTGGATTCCAGAATTTTAATTTATCAGGCTGAAAATTGGTGGAAATGTTGTACGTACAGCTGGGATCATCATACTAAAATTCCCAAAAAATCCCACTTGGGCAACATGCCGCCATCTTGGAAAATGGCCGCCATAATGGATTTCCCCCCTTGTGTCACATATTCAAGCATAAAACCACTCCTAATTGTGATAAAAACATGCAGTTTCTTCAAAACTATTTGTCGGGATGTAATTAAAATATTTAGAGCAATTATAGTTTTGTATGGAAATTGCAAATTTTTATGCTAAGACTTAAACAAAAATAATTGGAGGGTAATACTGAGGATAAAACTTCTCTGATTAAATCTTATAGAACAAGTCAAGGCACACAAGAATATGTAATTATATTTGTTTTTGGTTTATAAGTATGCCGTCATATTGACGCTGGACATGTGATTGCAGCCTACGTTTTAGACCGCATCATGGGAGTGACTGTAATAAAATTATGTAAATGGAATTAAATTACTGATAGTAAATAAACAGTTGTATTAGTATTACTTTTATAACTTACTTTTATTTGATACATAATATATGATTTTTTTATATAAACTAAAAAAAAAACTGAATATATTCTGTTTGACAATTGATAAGTTTGTGAGTTATAAAAACGATATGACTTTTTCCTCTTGCTTCAAAGTGGAATGGAATCATTTGGATGTCGGTTGTGTTGACTTCCCGGTCAGAACGGAACTGGGTTGGTAAATCAGGTACATTAATGTCCCCTTCTTTATTAATTTAGTACTGATGTAGCATTGATCCCGTGATCACAACCGTTGGTGCAGTAGATACACAATCGTGAACAAGATAACCCATTTTCAGACACCCACAATACCTGTTACATCCAGTCTTGCATGCACATCTTATCAAGTTGAGGAGGTTGTCAGGTAAAGGGGCATTGAAGTAGGAATTGGAGTAAATGTACCTATTTCGTTCTTTTTCCATCCCCACTCTATAGATGGAAGAGAAACCCCTAGCCATTCTTGACCCTGGTGGTTCACTCTAAGGTTGTGCTCTCTAGCACCTTCAGAAGTTGGTAGAAGTGTTGAAAGGTCAAATTAAAAGTCAAGACGTTTTAAAATTACTTTCAGGTACTATTTGTATCGAGTTCTTTTGAGTCCCTGACCGCTTTTTGCTCCATATATAGGGCTATAAGAAATTCCTATCCAGCTTTGACGATTTCCATCTGTGTGGATTCCGCCCGATTGAACACATACACTGGTTGGCAAAGAATTGGTGATTTCTCCAGAACAATGAATGCTTGTATCTTCCCTTTCCTGTAGGTTGCTGACGGGGTATCACAACCGGACATAGAATGTGGGAAAGCAAAATGCTAGTTGACATTGTCCATACTATTTTGCAGTGCTGTGGATGAAATATATTTTTCTAATGAGCTTTTAAAAGTGGAATGAGCATTAAGATAATTTTTTCAGGGTCAGTAAGGATCAATAACAGGACGAATGCCTCAGTGTTCTTTCCAACAATTGCAGAGTTTTTATTCATTGGCTAGTATGATGGCTGTTTGGACAATTAGACGGTCTGCATCAGCTTTCGCATGGACCGCTTGTATTCAGTTTCTGTTTGGATGGCTTACTAATTGATCAATGAGGCTTGTTTTGTTGGTTGCGTTGGCTAAGAATGGATGGTGCTGGGATACCACTTGCACATCAGAACCAACAAGAACTTCGTCAGATGTCGCTTTAAACGTTCGCCTGACGTGTTCTACATCGTTCATCGTACTTTCCTGGAATCAGTCAAAAACAACATTGACTTGATTTCCGTAATGTTTTACAATGTATGTCTGGTACGTTTTACAAAAAATGTCAGAGAAAATAGCCGGTTTTTGCCAGACTACCATGTGAAGAAGATGCCCGCCATCTATCACAAGGTTTGGAGCTAGTGGAAGACAATCCGTAGGAGGACACAATTTCTCCCTCATGGTCCTTAACGCAGCCTTGTTGGGTTTTCTATTGGTCCCATCGTTGAATAATGCTGGTGGTTATGGTGCCAACTCGTATTCAAAACATGTATACAACTGTTAATCATTACGCACAAGACACATGATTTGATAGAATAGCTAATTTTGGCTAATAGGAATAGTTTCACCCCGCACAACGACCACATTTCCCATGGCTAAATGTGACTGTATCTTGTCTGATCTCCTAAAGGGTTTTAATGTGGAAACATATCCCCTCACTTCAGCATGCTGCATGAGAACTCGTTTCATTTACAGCATTATATTACAGTCTCCACCACGACGCGGTCTAAAACTTAGGCTGCAATCGCACGTTCAACGTCAATATGACGGCATACTACCAACGGCATATAGACCAAAAACAAATATTACTACATTTTCTTGTGCATATTGACCTGTTCTAAAAAAATTATGCTGGTAAGTTTTTCTCCCGATGAGTAAAAGAGGTCTTAAATCAATTTTGAATCTAAGACTAGTATTACCTTAAAACAATTTTTGGTTATTTTTTGCATAAAAATGTTAAATTACTATACACAATTATCTACATTGGATCTAAACATTTTAATTACATCCGAAAAATAATTTTTAAGAAACTGCACGTTTTTATCACAATTAGGAGTTGTTTTATGCTTGAATATGTGACACAAGGGGGGAAATCCATTATGACGGCCATTTTCCAAGATGGCGGCATGTTGCCCAAGTGGGATTTTTTGGGAATTTTAGTATGATGTTCCCAGCTGTATGTACGACATCTCCACCAATTTTCAGCCTGATAAATTAAAATTCCACTATTAGGCTAAATTTTACACTTTTTTCCTGCACTAATTGTATTAACATCTTCAGTGTCAACAGATGTAGGTGTTATATAAATTGCATTTCTCTGAGACAAGCAATTGTGCAAGACGTAACATGCAAGAACATTCAACATTTTCCACATTGATTTACATGGCCCTTCTTGCTCGTGGAAGTCTGTAGTTGAAAATTCTTTGCACATGAGTTATATTTTTGACGGGTAAGGCTTCATTATGTAAGGGCTAAGACTAAACCCACTGTATCCAAGGAAAGCATATGGGAAGCACTTATTCGTGCCTGGTAAAGCTGTTGGCGCTGGTAATCTCAATTCATCATTTATAAGTCTCTGGTAAAAACTTGAGTTTTAGAGAACTGTAGAATCACAAACACTCCCATTGGCCCCTACATGTACGTACATAAACTGATAGTTTGCATCAACGATAGCAAATAACACTATGCTTAAAATTTTTTTTATAATTTAAGTACAGCGATCCGCTTCCTGTTGGTTTTTGTATAGCTATGTGTTTTCCGACCATTGCTCCAACAGCGTTATTGAAGTTCCACTTGGTCTCAAATTGATGTTATGTGTTTTTCGTCCATTGCTCCAACAGCGTTATTGAAGTTCCACTTGGTCTCAAATTGGTGTGCTACAGTTTTCCATTCATCCTCAGTTTTTGGGATCTGAAAATAAAACAAACTAAATTGTTTTTTTTTTTATTTTCAGGAGGAAACAGTTGATGACCCAGGAAATGGTGCAGCAGTGGTGCAACAACGGGGCGACCAGCGGCAGAACGCAGGACCTTCTACTACTGTAAATCTGGCAAATAGCCAAGAGATTAGCAGAGACCTTTTAAATAAACAAATTTCCGCACACAACTCACTGAAGCTAAACAAACAACATAATAATGGGCCTCTTCTTGCATTTTATACAGACCTACAACACGAAGTGTTAATTTTGAGTTCCTATGAAATTACAATAACTCCACCAAATAACTGTTGTATGCTAGAAAGCAAAGACATAGTGGAGGTAGACAATTTTGCTTTTTCAACAGAGTTAATTACCAATGTTGTGATTGGAAGAAAGTTTTTAGCCCAACATGACTTCTAAAAAATCTGTAGCCAACAAGAATATCCTAGTTATAATTTGAACATAATATAATGTTAAAAAACTGGAGTCATTTAAAGGATTGGCCAGTGAGCAAAATCAGCCGTAAATGATTCAAGATCATGTTTGATGAGAAACTTGTTTTATTTTCATTACTCCATTGTGAACAGTAAGGATATGAGTTAAACAATGTTAGACAATAATTCAACACAATTCTGATAAGATAATGGTTTGTGGTGGAGGCTTACGCACGTGATTATAAATTTAGGCCCTCTGTAAGATTATTATTTAAAAATAGGCCCTCTGTTTTCCAGGCATAAATTTGGACTTTTGTTTATAAAATTATTGATCTTGAGTATGATGTAGTTACCAACTCATAGTTGGTTAGCAGCAATTTGTGCAAATATCATGGCGGATATATTTTAGGTAGGATCTAAAAAGAGGCTCCTCGATGAGTTCTCCCAGCGAATACAATGGCCTATCCACTAGGGCTCCATGAACAACCTTTTTAAATTTCGGCAGTTCCAATTTACGCACTCGAACTGGCAGAGTATTGAAACCCTTTATTGCAGAGCGGGGATAACTTTTTAGAGTGCGACTCAAGCGACAGCGTAGCATATCCAAGTCTTGTGCTCTTCTTGTGTTGCAGCTGTGCTGATATTCCCTTTTAGAATATTCTCCTTCACGTTCTTTTAGGAGGATAAGTATGTCATAAACGTATTGACTGTAGATGGTAAGTATCTGCTGATCTTTGAAAATAGGCTGGCAATGCTCAGTGTATTCCGAGGATGTTATGATTCTGAGTGCCTTTTTTTGGAGCAGAAGTACATCATGAGCTGCAGGAGCGTGTCCCCACAATACCAGTCCATACATTATGTGGCTGTGGTAGAGGGAATGATACACAGTCTTTAAGTAAGGCTGCGTTATGATTGACCTAAGTTTCCTTAATAGGTACAAGACTCTGGAGAGCTTAACGCAGACTTTGTCAATATGGTAACTCCAGCTGCACTTAGAGTCAATCCAAAAACCAAGTAGCTTTACAGGTTCATCTTGATCTTCCTCCTCTCTCGTTTTGAGTGTGCATATCAGCGATTGCACCTTGTCCTCATTTATCTTCAGTTTGTTAGAGATAAACCATTCCTTGGCTTGCGTCAGCAGTTGTTCGGACTCCGCTTTGAGTTCTGGCAGATCTCGGCCTCGAGAAGACAAGGTAGTATCATCTGCAAACAGCAGTATGTGGCCGTTTAGCGACAAGTCATTGATCATGACTGTGAACAGTGATGGGCCAAAGACCGATCCCTGCGGCACTCCGTGCAGCAGTACACCAACTCTAGAGGAGGCCCCACGGGTCGCCGTCTATGTGTCACCCCGACAACCCATCACCTCGGTATTTTGGGCACAGACGACAACGTGTCACCTCGTAAAAATACAACGATGCCGTCTAGGTGTCACCTCGTCTAGTTGTCACCTCTTCTCTGGAGGTGATTGTTTGTCGTGTGTAGAGACGACTGCCTGTCACCTCGCACGCTTGCGTCAACGTGTCACCCCGACTACCCGTCACCTACTCTAGGCCCAGGTGACGATCTGTCGTTGCCGTTTACGACAAACAGTCACCTCGTACACTCGCGACAACGTGTCACCCCGACTACCTGCCACCCCGCTCCATCTGTTTACGTTTTCTTATAACGCATAATAGGATTTCTCCACTTGGTTTATCGGCGCTACCATGCTTGAAAACAAAAATTGTATATGTTACAATAAATAATAAACAAATAATAAAATACATTATAAATTATGCATGTTTAATCTTCACTAACTAGATGATACACGCAGGATCCACCCGGGTAATAAAACTAAAAAATCCAACAAATTAATAAAATAATACTAAAATATAGGTAGTTAGAACCAAATAACATTAGGTTGGTTCTGTATACTGCAACAAGTAGAAGAAAAAAAATATTTGCAATCTAAATGCAGTTAGGACATTTTCCAATGTAGGAGATTTTATAAAAAGTTCAGTGACACTGTTACATAAATTTTAGTTTAAGCCAACATTGCATGCTCTCAGCTTAAATAGAACGACCTTTTGCGATTAAAATTTTTCATGTTAGTGCCAAATATAAACTTATTCCAGATCATAACAGATGTTACATTTGAGACTAAATTTTTAAGACGCCGTTAGACATTTGACCAATTAATTGAACATATATTGAAATAGCTCATAGTGTATTTGGATGAATTAATAATTATTATCCACTAGGCCTTCTATGGCCACGAGAGAAATTTATTTCTTGCATTCAAACACAAAAATGAACTAGTTAAATATAAAAAAAAACTACAAGATATGTCAGAAAAAAATACGTTTCATGCTAAATTAAAATTAAGTTCCTTTACTTTAGCTTACTACAATCATTAAATTCAAATATATATTTAATTTTTATAATCCATGTAATTCAACAGATTAAAATTATTATTCAATTAAAAATTAAACCTGATATTCCAAAATATAAGCTTTCAAACACCACTGAAAAAAACGTATCTTACATATTGAACACATAACTCTTGGGAAGTTCAAGAATAGACTTTTAAATGTTAAAGGATGCATTTACCTGACTTAAGTAAAAGGTATTCTTGTTAATACAAATATACAAACTTTGAGTTTTTTTAACTTATCAAAATCGAAAATTTTGACTGTAGTTACTGCAGTTTTAAATAACGCCTTTATAACAACGGTACTTGACAATTGCTAGATTTCGAGCAACAGGTACATAGTAGCCTACTTAATTATTTTATGAATGCTAATATTATAAATTCAATATTTCTCAAGTAAGCCTATCGCATAAAAAAACACAATACCGACTAAGATACTATTATTTAAAAAGCTGTATGTCTTACCATGTAAACACTTCAAATTTGTTCGCATTAAAACACGTCGTTCTATTCTTTTAAACCCCGAACTAACAAACCAATCCATATTGCTAATAAAACGGGTTACTTAAAAAAATATATATAACTGTTAACTGTTTGACTGTTATTTAACTGTTAATCACTGTTTACTATTAACTGTTATAAGAGTCGACGTATAAGAGCTCCGCTCCGCTAAAAATCTGGATTTTCTCATTTTTGTTCCTCAAGACACAAAATTTCCCAAATTGTCTATAGACCTCTTTAGAGAGCTTAAAACACAAAAAATTCAGTATATCTAAGTATTTTTGTACAATTATTAGTTATTGTACAGAGAAAATTTATAAAAATATGATCTGAAATTTCCTATGTTATTCTTATGAAGAATATTGTAAAATGTTGTAGTTGCTTGTTTATGGAAATATTTTGATCAAACTTGGCAAATTTATTTATTATATACTGAGATATTATTATTTTTCTAAAAATACACACTTTATTAGTTTCCCTGTGGCAGCAAACTTAGTTACTCGCTAAACTGAATGCTAAAAATGCATTTTTAGGCCTAATTGAAAATCAGTTCAAGTAAATGGGAATTCGCTTAGACTGCAGGCTTGCTGCAGCGGAGGTATTATTTTTTGTACTTATTTTTGAGCCTGTTTTATTTATATAGGGTTTCCGCACATATACAGGAAAATATATTTCTAAAAGGTTTGTGTAGATTTTCTCTGCGATGCACGGGAAATAAAATATGAATTTACTAAAAGACCCATTCTGCTCGGCAGTGTCGAAATAATTATCATATCCTAGAAATGATCAAATTTATGATTTTTGATTTATTAATATTGTTTCTTGATATAGTAGAGTTTTGAACTTAGCTGATTCTAACAATCAATAGTTCAACAATCAAATTAAAAACTGCAATTCAACGGTTATTTTGAGTCAAAAACATAAACAATACTGGAGCAATTGATTTTAAATCATAGACAAACTTTATAGAAAATAATTTTTATGTAGGTTGTTCACCTTGCCTTTGCTTGAAACTCGTCCGATTGGAATGACTAATAGCTTAAATGAAAACCGATATTGCACTGAAGGTTCGTCTTAGACCAAAATATATCTATAGGATTATATAATTATTGAAGGTTTTAGAAAAGATAAGTACGTATAATATATTTGGAATATGGTTTTAATTCATATTAAACTATTTACAAAAAAATATAAAAAAACCAAGGAATAAATGTGCAGAGGGGGTATTTTAATCAGCCACAAAGTATATACCATGTAAGGACCGAAAGTTACTTTTAAAATTGTTTGTCATAGAATAGGAAGACCGGAAGCCTGATATGATTTTTTTATATCATACGCACGGTTATTCACTGGCGCAATCACCCACATGTACTGCCAATTGTGTAAATCATTTGTTTTAAATGGAGTCTTTTAAGTCCTGAACAATGAATTAAACTTTCATTTCGTAATAAATTATAAATTTCATAATAGTATATAAGTCCTCAGATCATATCACAATATCTTCAGAGATCGAAAAATGACAAAATATAGTGCCAAAATATAATCTGAACTGATTTTACTGGTATGTCATTTAAGTTTTGTGAATTGAAAACAATTTTGAGAAGTTTTTTTGTGCTTGTTAACAAAACATCTTTAAAAATTGTGT